GGGGGGGGGGGGGAGGAGGTGCGCGGCAGGCGGTTCGGGGGCCGCACCGCAGGCGCGGCGCCGGTAGAGGCGCGCAGCAGGCGGGCTGGGGCAGCGCGTTGGGCGGAAGCAGGGCCGCCCACCTGGTCACGGGATGTCTGGTCTTCCCAGGGACGGAGGTCACTGGTGGCGGTTGCATGGAGGGGCAGCGGCGCGCGGCACGCCAAGGAGGACAAAAACATCAGCCCGCACTTTAGGTTGAAGTCAAGCTAGGACATAGATGCGTGGGGGACATCTAGAACGTGCGTGGTCAGCCCAGGAGGGGGCCTCCTGCCGCGCTGCATGGCACTCGCTGCGGCGTCGAAGAGGGCCCCCCGCCACCACTGGCCCCCAGCCGGCCGCCACGCCCTCACCTCGGCCGCACCCACGAGTAGTCTCGCGGCACGCCCTGCGCCGCCGGCGGCCCCAAGAACACAGCGCACACGAACTTGGGGGCGCCGCGGGGCGGCTTGGGGCGTGATGCGAGGACCGCCTCTGGGCAGTCTTCGTCGGGTGCAACAGTGGCCTGGGAGCGAGTGCGGGGGTTACGAGGCGCGCGCGGCGTGGTGAGCAGGCGTGGGACGCCCTGCGCGAGTGATCAGGAGGAGCAGCGCCCGCCACATGGTGTCGCGGCTTGCACCGGTGCGCGCTGGCGCCGTGCACTCGAATCTCCCATTTGTGCTGTCCCTGCGAGCTCACATGGTACCCTGGCGCCATCACAGGGCAGCCCCTACTAAGGCTCAGCGGCGTCCAGTGCATCTTACCGGCCATATCCGCTCTCTCAGGCCGTGGAAGGCCCAGCACAGGCCTCGAGGCTTGTTCTGCACCTGCTGCAGGGCCATGTTCCCTCAGCCTGCTGCCTCACGCTGCTTCCCAGCCTGCCTCTTCAAGATTAAATTCCCATTTGATCCGCGGCGTAGGCTCGGAACAGTGCCACCGCTGAGCGGACTCTTGCCAAGCTGCAGGATGATCCACAATGATGGTGGCCGAGGCAACAGGAGCCCTGATGATAAACTAAAAATAACCAACTTGTAACATGTGTATGTGAGGACTGCAAAAAGAGGGGTGCTGAAGCAGCACATAAATTGCAATCTTTGTGATCTGGCCGGGCTACGTGTTACCAAATTAACATGGGTGAATTCACCCATGTATGATTCCAACAATCTCGAGCAGATGTTCAGACGCTGCTGATCTGTTGCAGTGTTGGCTTGGGAGTTGGCATTCTTCATGCTGCCATGAGCAGCAAACCATCCAAGCAGGAGCTTCTAGAAGCGGGTCGGCGCAAGGTGAGCAGGTCCCAAGGCTGACGTCGTGGACGGGAACAGACTCGCGCATGCTGCTCAGGCGCCGCCGTGGCTGATTGACAATCGCGCTGTCCGCGATCCAACCAGCCCGTCCTGACCCCAACGTGCCCCCGACATCGCTGCTCAGCTTGAACTATTCAGAAAGAGCAAGCAGGCTAAGGCGCCGCAGCCCGCAAGTTCGCCACAACAACCGCAGTCAGCCGCTGCCAGCAGTGGTGGCGGCGCGCCTGCCGATGCACAGCCATCCATCGCAGCGGCGCAGACCCCAGCACCCCAGCAGCAGCCCGAGCCGCAGCCGAGAGACGGATCTGATGTCGAAGGGTCAGCAGGCGCCATGGGCGGCGGCGACGCGGTTGCGGGCCTGGATCTGCTGCGGAGCCTCCAAGCGGCGCCAGCCCCATCGCAAGCTGTTGGCCAGCCGGCGCGCCAGCTGCTGGGCAGCTCTCTTGAGGAGCTGGCGATGCTGAGCGGTGGCGCCGGCCTGCCACCGCAACACACTCACCAATTGGGTGCAACCCAGGGGTCCCCGGCGTGGCAGCAGCAGCAGCAGCAGCAGCAGCAGCAGCCTCAGGGGGTGAACCAACAGGTCGCAGCAGGTGGGGCGGGTGAGGCGGCGGTCACAGCCTCACCGGCCAAGGAGCAAACGCCGCGGCCGCCGCCGCAGCAGCAGCAGCAGCCAGACGGTCATGGCAATGCAACGAGCGATGCATATTTGCGGGCTTCCTGGGGCTCCCTGTTTGGCTCCCGCCCTCAAAACGGCCAGCCAGACCCATCAGCAAGCACGGACGCGCCGCCGCCGCAGCCGGAGGCTCCAATTGAGGCGCCAGCGGCAACAGCGGCAGCGGCCGCAGCGGCGGGAGCTGCGGCGGCGGCGGCGCTGGCTGATTTGGAACAGTGGCGGGCAACGACACAGCCTGGCTCTGCGGGAATCGCTGTGCCACCTGCAGTCGCCTTTGCAGGGGATCCCGACGCGCCCCAACCGGCTGCGCCATCGGCCGTCAACATCAGCAGCCCAGGAGGGCGCAGGGCCGCGGCACCACCTGCTGCGCTTCCGCAGCATGCATCTGCCCAGCAGCCGCCATCACCGGCTCCGCCGCAACAGTCCCTGACGTCGGACCTCGCCCCAAAGGCGCACAGCAGCTACGCCAGCCTCGCTGATGGATACTTACAACCCAATCCACAGCGTCAGCAGCAGCAGCAGCAGCAGCAGCAGCAGCAGCAGCAGCAGCAGCTTCAACAGCGGCAGCAGCAGCAGCAGCAGCAACCTGTGGCGGTGGCAGTGGCTCAAAGCAGCTGGCAGCCTGGCAAGAGCTCGTACGCCGCGCTCGCGGACAGCTTCTTTGCTGGAGGCCGCGACGGAGGCGCAGAGGCAGAGGCAGCTGCGGGCCGCGCCCAAGAGCAGCGGCCGCTCTCGCCGGCTTCAGGCACGGGTTCCGCCCCGCCTGGTCCGGGCGAGGGCCTCTACGGGGTGCTGCCCCAGCAGCAGCAGCAGCAGCAGCAGCAGCAGCAGCCTGGCGTCTTGTTGGAGGGGTCGCCCTCTCTCCGGCGATACGCCCTTGAGGGGGCCGCGGCGGTGGGAGCTGCTTACCCCGGGCCCGTGAGCGGGGGAGGCAGCCGCGACGGTTCACCGCGCTCCGTGCCGTCTCGTGTCTCACAGCCACACTCGCAGGGGGCGTATTCCCCAGGGGCCAACTACCAGCAGCAACAACTGCCGGCGGCATTGTTCCAGCATCAGCAGCAACAGCAGCAGCAGCAGCAGCAGCAGCAGCAGCAGCAGCACTGGTTGTACCAACAGCAGCCTGGCGCCTCGGGCTTTGACAACGGACCCCAGCCAGCCAGCGGCGCCAGCAGCTGGGGAAATGGCGCTTCACAGCTGCTTTCTGTGGGGGCGGCGGGGCATTCTGGTATGCCGCCAACCCAGCAGCAGCAGCAGCAGTTGAGCGCCCCAGCAAGCGCCGCCGCTCTCTTCACGTCCACGC